GAGAGGTTTTTAAAGGATTCCTGGGGAATTCAGCCAGGATTCCCCTCAATCCATACCGAGAGGTTTTTAAAGGATTCCTGGGGAATTCAGCCAGGGCTCCCCTCAATCCACACTGGGAGATTTTTTAAGGATTCCTGGGAATTCAGCCAGGGCTCCCAGAGGTTTTTAAAGGATTCCTGGGGAATTCAGCCCTCAATGCACACCGGGAGGTTTTTAAAGGATCCCTGGGGAATTGTCCCATCTTAGCCCCACTCGCGGTGCGTGGATCACACACACACACACACACACACACACACACACACACACACACACGGAGGTTACATCACCGCCCCGAGGATCGGTGACAACATAAACAATCAGCTGATCCCCGGAGCTGTCACCGAGCCCCAAATCAAACGCCTCCCTGGCAATCCTCAGCCTTGAGCCAGCACGGGTTATTTATTTGCAGCACATCCTGGACACCAGGCTCGCTGCCAATCCCTGTCTGGGTCTCTCCTGGGGCCCCTCAAGGTCCCCGCTGACCCCCCGAGCCCCCGGCCCGGTGTCCCCCCTTCCACCTCGGCCACACCACGAGGACCACTCGCATCCCTCCACGTGTTCGCCCAAACTCCTGGAAAAACGCGGCGCTGCCACCATTTCCGACGCCGAGGTTATTCAAACACGCTTCCAAAAATATTCTTGGGCGATAAAAAAACCAAGGTTAAGGATGGGAAAAAAAAAAAAAACACCAACAAACCCAAAAATCCCAACAAAACAAAACCCTCGCGGGAAGTTCTGGCTGGAACTTCACGCCGAGGCTGTGGCTGCGCGGAGCTCCGGGGAGCGGCGGCTTCTCTCCAGGGGGATGGAAGCGCACCGGGAGCCGAGCGGGGCGGCCGAGGGGAGGAACCCCCCACTCCGCTCCGCTCCGAGGCTGAAAAGGCTGCGGACCCTCCGCGACGCCCCCCGCGCTCGCTTCCCCTCGGGAATGGTTTTCCCACGCAGCCCCCCAAGCCCGGCTCAGCACCTTAAACCCGGCTCATGTCCCTAAACCCGGCTCAGCCCCCCAAGCCCGGCTCAGCACCTTAAACCCGGCTCAGCCCCCGGAGCCCGGCTCAGCCCCCCGAGCCCGGCTCAGCACCTTAAACCCGGCTCAGCCCCCCGAGCCCGGGTCAGCTCCCCGAGCCCGGGTCAGCACCTTAAACCCGGCTCATGCCTTCAAGCCCGGCTCAGCCCCCCAAGCCCGGCTCAGCCCCCCCCAAGCCCGGCTCAACCCCTGGAGCCCGGCTCAGCCCCCCAAACCCGGCTCAGCCCCCAAGCCCGGCTCAGCCCCCCAGACCCGGCTCAGCCCCCAAGCCCGGCTCAGCCCCCCAGACCCGGCTCAGCCCCCCAAGCCCGGCCCGGGGCTGCCGGCGCTGCCCACCCGCGAGCCGGGCTAAGTGAGGGGGTCAGCGGGCAGCGGAACCCCCGAGGGAGGAGCGCGGAGTTTGCCAGGCTCTTACGTCCTCTTGAAGACCCCTCCGAGGCAGCTGCCGAGCAGGAGGCAGAACTGCTGCGAGAAGAACACCCAGGTGATCTGCGAGAGCGAGCTCTGGGTCTGGCAGCGCAGGTCCAGCAGCGTGGGCCCCAGGAAGGCGATGCAGAGGCCGAAGCTGAAGAAGACGCTCCAGTAGGTGAGGGTGGGCTGCAGGTTCCTCCGGAACCGCGCCGACACCCGCTCGTCCCACCACATCCTGCGGGGCGGCCCCGCTGCTGGAGCTCCGGCGCCGGGCTCGGGCCCCGCCGCCGCCCCGCTGCCGTGCCCGGCCCCGCTCCTCCTTTGCGGGATGTGGCTCCCGATCCCGCCGCGCCGGGCGCTGGCTCCGCCTCCGGGGCCGGGCGGAGCGGGGCCCCTCTCCATCCCCGCCGCCCCCGGAGCCGCCCCGCCGGACCCCGGCGCATCCCTCGGGCGCTGGAAGCAGCGCCGTGTGTTCCTCCCCATCCTCCTCCTCACCCTCCTCCTCCTCCTCCTCCTCATCTGCTTCCCTCCCACTCGCCCCCACGGGGGTCGCATCATCCTCCCAAAAGTGGGGCGAACCTTCCGCGCCCCCCCCTCGGTATTAAAGCGCAGCCACAGCGGCTACACCCGATGGAACAGAACACAGTCCAGGCAGGAAATCCAGAAATTCCCTTTTTTTTTTTTTTTTCCCCTGTTGCCAGCCCTCCCCGCGGTCCCCCGTGGCCGTGCAAAGGTGCCACCGTGCCAGACAAACGCAATTAAAGTTGCCCCTTGCCCGGGTAAGCAGCAGAAGCTGCCTTGGGGCGGGGGGAGGGCGCGGGTTTTAAAGCGGTTGATGCTTACGCAAAAGGTCTTCTCTAGAGGATGGGTTTATAAATATTTCACCTACTTTAGCTGGGGAAGGCTGGCAATTTTTAGAACACTCTTTCCAGGCAGAGCAGAGCCGGTGGAGCTCGGCCATGACGAGCGCTGGCTGCAGGTTGCCAGCCGGGCACGGGAGCTCGCCCGTCCCGGTCCCGTGAGCCGCGCCTCTGGAATGCCGCTCCGGGGCCGCAGGTGCTCATTCCCACCTGGCCACAGCTTAATCTTTAGCCAACCCCAAACTGCATCCAAGGCAAATTGTTCTTGCGTGCCATCCTGCCCGCACAACGCGGTCACGGCCTCTGCCACCACCGCAGGGGACAAAGGGACCCTGACAGCGATAACCGCACCCCAACTCCCCAAAATGCCCCAAACTGCCCCAAACTCGAGGCTCCTGCGGCCGCCGAGCACCTGAGGCCATGAAAGGGCCGGGAGCGGTGTCCTTGTGACCGATGGGGACAGCCAGGGCCCGGCAGGAACGAGCCCCACGGGCAGGGGATGAGTCAAAGGCACGGCGGAAATTGGGTTTTATCATTAGGGGATCAAACGCCTCCCAAACCAGCCCGGATGGGGACGGAGCCGCAGCCTGGGGCTCTCCTTGCTGGGCAAAACTCGATTTGAGGCCGCGCTGATGCAGCAGCTTCTGCTTCCCTTCCCTGTCACAAGGAGAAAGGAGTGGGATAGCAAAGCCTGTCCATGGAAAGGAGTGGGATAGCAAAGCCTGTCCATGGAAAGGAGTGGGATAAAAAGCCTTTCCATGGAAAGGATTGGGATAGCAAAACCTTTCCAGCAAAAACTGCTGGGGAAGGCAGCCAGGAGTCCTGGTGCAGCCACCTGGGTGTGTTCCTGTGTCACCTGCTCCAGGTGACCCTGGCTGGGTGATCTCCAGAGGCCTTTTCCAACCCGAACAATTCAAGGATTCTGCCATCTCCCAGCTCCCTTTTTCTGTTCCTGTGCATGGAGCTGATGGAAGCTGCTCCTCATCTCCCACACTGCAGGGGCTCTGTCCCAAAAAAACCCCGACTGATGAAGCTTTCCCTGGGCCACATTCCGGATCTTTATCTGGAGATAAGGGAGACCCAGGGAGCTGGGAGACCTGAACTCGCTGCTCCATCCCCCTCTCCGCATGGCATCACCTCTCCAGGGCCTGAATTCCCAACCCTAAAATGGCTCAGCAATGCCCTCCCCACCTCTGCAGCCGCTCTGCGCCACCCCCGGACACAAAAGCAGCACCCAGAGGTGACGAAGATCAACCAACCCCGACCCAGAGCCACACCGAGTGACCCGGGTGCTCCAGGGGACATCCGAGTGCCAGCTCCCGGGAACACCAGCGTGCCAGCTCCCGGGAATATCAATGTGCCAGCTCCCGGGAACACCAGTGTGCCATCTCCCGGGAATATCAATGTGCCAGCTCCCGGGAATACCAGTGTGCCAGCTCCTGGGAATACCAGTGTGCCATCTCCCGGGAACACCAGCGTGCCATCTCCCGGGAATATCAATGTGCCAGCTCCTGGGAATATCAGCGTGCCAGCTCCTGGGAATACCAGTGTGCCAGCTCCTGGGAATATCAGCGTGCCAGCTCCTGGGAATACCAGCGTGCCAGCTCCTGGGAATATCAGTGTGCCA